GGCGCCCCCCCCCGAGCCCGGCTGCGAGCGGCGGGACCCGCGCGCAGGTAACGGGATGGGGGGGGTGTGGATGCAACTTTCGATGCGTCACATCGGCGGGGAAGAGTGCGGGGAGCCGGCGGAGGGATGCGGGCAGAGCCGGGGCGGGGGCCGTGCGGGCAGAGCCGGCGGGGGTGGGGTGCAGGGTCCCCCCCACACACACACTGGTCCAGCCTGGATTCCCCGCCTGGATCTAACCCGGACACCCCCCCCCCTCCCGCGATAGGCTTCCCCTTCCTGGGGTCCGGATCCCCCACTCAGAAGCGCCCACCCACACCTGCCGTCCCCCCTCCCCCTGAACCCCGCATCCAGCGCGCACGCCCGCCCCCCTGGATCTGGCCCCGCCCAAAGGAACCTCCCCACGCCCGGCAGAGTTGTGAGTTTTCCAGCCATTTCTGATTGGGCAGCAAGATCTCAATCTCCCCCGCGCTCAGCCAACCGGGCGGCAGGGAGCCGGGGGGGGGGGGGGCTCTCACGCCTCGCCGTGATTGGTTAGAAATCTAGGGCTGGCTGAGCCGTGAACCCTGGGGCCGGGTGGGAGCCGGCGCCCCCTAGCCCCTTCCCCGCCCCCCTGAGCCAGCCAGTCTCCGCCCTGGGGACGGGTGGGAGCTGTTCTGACATTTGCCCACTAGAGGGCGACAGAACGAGGCGCTCTGCGGGCGGCTCTCGGTCAGACCGAGGCGCAGGGGGACGCCCCTTCCTGACCCAGCCAGTCCCTGCCGTGAAGCATGGGGGTTAACACCCCCTTCCTGTCATTCTGGGTGATTTTCTCAGCCCCCCCCCCCAGCCTGCTGAGCTGCGACATCTAGTGCCAGGGAGTTCCCTGGGCTCATGGCAGAGATTCCTTCAATGCCTTTAATTCACTTTCCTTAAACGCCTAGTGGGACACCCCGGGAGGGGAGGGGAATGGGGGCTGGTGGTTAGAGCTGGGGGGCCTGGGAGCCAGGACTCCTGGGTTCTCTCCCCAGCTCTGGGAGGGGAGCGGGGGCTGGTGGGTTAGAGCAGGGGAGGCTGGGAGCCAGGACTCCTGGGTTCTCTCCCTGGCTCTGGAAGGGGAGTGGGGGCTGGTGGGTTAGAGCAGGGGAGGCTGGGAGCCAGGGGTCCTGACTGATCCAGGCCAGAGAATCTCCCCCTGGAGGGAGGCCAGTAAAGCGCCTTCCAGATGGGCCTCCCGGCTGATCCGGACCCCCAACACTGGGCCAGCTCCCCCTGCCCTATTCCTCAGGCAGCTTGTTGCAAGGGTCCCTCCCCCTCCTGCTTAAACACGGAGGACCATTTTCCAGTGTGAACATGTTCGGCGCCCACTGGGCTGGTTCCCTTTGGGGCCTGGGATATTCTCCCCCCCACTCCGGCTCCCCCTGCCAGCCCTCGGCTCGGTTCTGTGGCACGCCTCTGCTGCTGGAGGGGTCTGGCATGACCCTTTCCAGCAAACGCAGCCGCTCTGCACCCCCCTAAAGCCGGGGTGACGGGTGTGCCAAAGGGCTAGCGGGGGGGGGGGAGGATTTTCCACCCCGGCCTTCCTCGGTTTCCCTTGCGGTGCTCCGGCTAGGGGTTCTCCCGGTGCCCACGTCACGCAGAGCCCAGGAAAATGGATGAGACCCACTAATTACTGCTAGCTACATCATGCCACCCATTCCCCGTAGTGCCCGACGCTGTCCTGACACGAGGGGCGGCTCAGAAACCCCTGCCCCAAACTCCTTCCAGTCCAATTAGCCGAAGGCAGGAGGGAAAACTGAGTCACACAGCTGGGCCGTAGCTCCAACGCACTGGGAATGGAACCCAGGTACCCTGTGTCCCCCGTCCCTGTCTCTGGTCTGGCCCATCTGCCGATTCCATTTGGCCCCTGCATGTGACCCTGTAGATCCCCATCTGGGGGGGAGAGGCGGTGCCTTGTGGCCCCGCCCCCATCTGAATGGGTTTCACCAGGGGGTCCATGGGGCCTGGTGGCTCCCTTTCCCCCCCTTGAGGGCAGTCCCCTCAGGTCATGCAGAGCTCTGAGGCCTGGAGTTAACACCCCATTGACAGGCTCAGGGCAGTTTCCCCCTCCCACAAATCAGGCTCTCTGCAGACTCAGGCAATGTTACCCTGTCGGGCACAATCGTCCATTCTCCCAGCCGGGGGGCCTGGCAGATGACTCCAGGAGCCGGTGCCCTGGGGGCCGGCTCACAGTGCCAACGCCTCATCCCGCACCCGCGTGGTGGCGATGAAGTCTCATGCCAACCAGTTTCCTGGCTGCAGGAGCCAGGCTGGTGGGGCCCCGTTGCGCCGGGCGCTGCCCAGATCCCCCCGACTGAGATTTGGCCCCGTCGCACCGGGCGCTGCCAAGCTTCACACACCCCTTGTGCCAAAGAGCTTGAAATCTATATAAACAGAGGCACAGAGAGAGGCAGGAACTCCCCCATAGTCAGTGACGGAGCTGGGGAAGGACCCCAGGCATCTTGGCTTCCCCCCACCACTCTCCCCTGCTCTAACCCACCACCCGCAAGCCAGGGAGAGAACCCAGGAGTGCTGGCTCCCAGCCCCCCGTGCTGTAACCCACCAGCCCCCACCCGCCTTCCAGAGCCGGGGAGAGAACCCAGGCGTCCTGGCTCCCAGCCCCCACTCCCCTCCCAGAGCTAGGGAGAGAACCCAGGAGTCCTGGCTCCCAGC